AGCATCCGTTTTGGATTTGACTGCAACAATTTTCGAATAGGTATTTTTACGGAGCGTTGCGTTTGTTTCTCTCGTGTGTTTCAATGAACTCTTGTTGATTGGATTGGCATTAATGATAATGAGTAGAAGAGTGCAAAAGATAACAAGTATAGACCTATTCGTCATATTGCATACAGTTGATAGTAATAAATGAAGCTGAATATGCTCTCAGTGTGGTTCAAGGTGGCTTTATATCTTTCTAACTGGTAGCATACTTGTGGAAACAACAAAATCGTAACTAGAAACTAAGCATTAATCGCAAGACGCACACATAGGCCATACAGCAACTCAATCAAATGATAAACTTTCGTTTGATGTTCTATTACTCATGTTTTCTTTCATGTGAGCGGAAGACAAGCCGTTACTATCAATTTCAAATAAAAATGCTTGTGAGTGTTTTTTCATCATTTTAGGAACGAAACTAGCTAGCGATCTGCGATTTTCAATATTCGAAAGAGAGCAATGAGGAAGAAGATAGATGTAAAAATCATTCAAGTAGCGAATGGTTCAGAGGTCACTGAGAAATTGAACTCAAGTTGAATTTCAACATCCACAATGTTTTCATTACATTTTCGGCTTTTAGAGGTAGAGTAGATTCGATGGATGACTTGTTTCATTCTCTCTCAGTTTCAGAATTACACTTTATTTTGTTCGGTGAGTAGACGCTTTATACTGAGAATTCGTGAGATCACCAAAAAAAAACTCGTCTTCCTACTGCGATGGAGCCCCTCACAAAATTTACTTTCATACGGCTTTTCAAAAGTGCAAGTCGGATAGTACCGTTTCCTTTAAGAAAAATAATGTCGGTGCTCAATCTTCATTGTATGAGTCAATATCAGGCTGTTTTTCCTTGCGCAAAGGATTAACCCTTTCGCTACGGGTGTCCCATATATGGGACGGTGACATTTTTCCTATGATATGGAAGTTTTACACTAAAAGTACGTCTTTCCTACAAAAATTCTAACGTCCCCAGGCTCCCTCCCTATAATAGAAAGAGCTCTTTAGATACAAATATCAAATTGTACTTCAAGTACAATTTGATGCCTGTATCTAAGGAAAAATGTCACCGTCCCATATATGGCACACCCGTAGCGAAAGAGTTAACTATCACACTAATTACCATAATAGAGGGTCGGTGTGAGTGTGGATGAGTCTACAGATGAAGAGAAGACCAGCACACCCATACTTAGAGCCACCCGATTTCCATGAACTCTGAACTGTTCAAGACATCAGAACCCAAATTATAATGTTAGCGAAGAAACGAACATCGATAACAATTGGAGAAAGTCTAAGAAACTCAAGGTATTAAAGAAATCGAAGCAATTCTAGGAACTGTATGAAGTGTAGGAGTTTCATCAATTTAGGACATTCAAGCAATTTTAAGAACTCTCGGAGCTTAAGGAATCCAAGGAATTTAATGAGCTCTAAGAAACATTGATGTCAGCAAATATGTGAGGGTGGAAGGAGAAAAACTACATATTCTGTAATTCAGCATACTTCAAGGATATGTTAAACAGAGGTGTGCGGTCCACGGGTTTCAACCTGTGAGCCCTGCGAGATTACTTGGCGGCGCGCGGACGGGAAACAAATTTTTGTAACTTTTCGGGACCGGCGAGGTACAGGTATTATTCAATGTGTAGGCGGTCTGGGTGGATGAGACTGAAAATAAGAAATACGGGCGTCAGGAGGGTAGATAATTTTTTCGGGGCATGACGAGGGATCGTCAAAAATTATCAATACATGTCATTATTCCACATATGCAGTAAGAAGCATATATTGATCGGTTCATTATTTCTAACTTATTAGCTACAAGCTCCCTTGTTCTTTGTTCCTTTTTTTCTTAGGCCCAAAACAGACTCAAGACATCTTTTGAATGACTTAATTTTTAATGCATCAATTATACAATAAGTTGATTGAACAATTAAATATATATATAAAGACAAGAAAGAGTGGTGTCACTGAAGAGAGTTAATTATTATAAAATAAAACACTAGAGTTGTTAAATCATTCACAGATTACGAGTTTCTTGAGTCCGCGAGCAAGTAAACAGTCATAAAAAAAAACTTTTACTACTCGAAAGTACACTGTATTTATTCATCTCCACTACATTATAGAGAATATTCTCGATCTGAATTAGCGGATTAGTGATTGAGAGTGTCTGTATACAGAAATAAAACAAAGATAATACTGTTTCATTTTTATAGTCTATTGAGATCTTATCGTTTCTCATGTTGAACTTCGACCATTAATTTGTATTAACAAGCGAAAAGAAACTAAACTTCCTTTGGTTTGTAGAATTAGATTTTGTGGAATTTGTTTTGTCTTTTATCAGTATTAATGATCGAATTGCATGATTTATCATTTAACGAATCGTTTGATAGTATGATGCCATCGGGTGCCTCTCTTTCGTCGGCTCATCCAAAAAGTTATGTATAAACTTTGTTTCAAATCCTTTTTTAATATGCTAATCAAGTATGTAGAATAATTCTCTGAAAACAAACTAAATGATAAATAGAAACTTTTTTCGAGTTTCACGGGGGCGGGGCAGGGTCTGTTGAAAAATCGACGTGTCGGGCAGGATTATACAGAAAGCCTGCCCACACAGAGGCAGGCGGGACGGGGACGGGGACGGGAGATACTCAGAAAAATCATCCACGAGGATCGGCGAAGCATCAAAACTCGATGCACCACACACCTCTGATATCAATTCTATACTAAAAAGGTACGGAGTATGGAGAGATGATAGACAATAAAATTAAAACATTTGACATGACTATAAACTGAGGATATGAACTGATTGAAGGCTGATGGTAAGAAACAAAAACACCGAGACGTTTCTTATAAGATTCAGTTAATTACAATAAAAATTTCACTGAACTCAATCTATCTTAATTCATGTGGTAGAATCGTATTGAAAAATGTTTTATTTATGATCTCACTTTTTGCGAACAAAAATCAAAAAATTGTACAAATGATGCCCATATTATAAATAGATGTTTACTATCAAAAAAAAACCTAAGAAATGTATTGCTAGTTCAATTTCTCTTAATCATTTACACACACTTTATTTTGATTTATCAGCAAGTTTCGGTCATTGTTCAAGACTATTCATTAATGGTTGATGTCGAAGATAGTACACAATAATTTCTATACAATGAACAAATGTCTCGTTGCTTCAAGCACATTGATGATGAACGTGAACTTAATGATGTTGATTATTTTTTATTTGATTGTTTATGATCAATATATTGAAGAAAATTTTTAAGAAGAAATTTAATTGATGGCATGTGGTCTTGTAGCTTAAAATATTCAATAAACGCTTGTCGGTTCAAAATTTTCTATAACATGTTTCAATCACTGCTCTGCATTTCCATGACCTTTTAGTCTTTGTATTTCACGTAATGGTAATTGAATAAAAGATTGATTTGAAAGAAAATGTTGATCATTTAAGTCATGATCAAACATTTCTTTGGACGGCTCGTTGAAACTGTAAACAACCGTACTCATATCTTCAATACTATTCATGATAGATACCTTCAACTTTTTGTTTTTAATCGATAAAACTAAAGAATTGTGATGATGTTTGTTCAAGATCTTTATTAGGAAGATCGAATAAAATTCTAATTAAAATGTGCTTTGTTCCTTGTTACGCTAATATTATCATACAAAACATTGGCTAGTGCACTTTTTTATTAGGTTCCTTTCCAGTTCTTTTATAATGCAGAAAAAGTTGAATAAGAACTTAACCTTCATAAAAATCAAAGGAATGAATATAATACATATAACAGATATAAGATAATGAAAAGCAAAAAACAAGAACAATACACACATATATATGTATATATATATATCAAATAGAAAAAAAGAAAATATAGATCAGAGATTCGCGAGAAAGCTAAAAGTCATACTATCACTACCCCGCTTAGTTTCATCACGACAATCTTTTGATTGGTAACAATTTTGAAAATTTTTGAATCACTCAGACTAAATATACACAGTCATAAACGGTCATATTCTGGGAATTGCAGTCTTTTATGTGGCTCTACATCACGATAGCACATCACCATGTTCTATACAAATAAATGGAATGATTTACGAAGATAAAAACGCTCTCTTACTGTTTTCGTACACAAAGGTTGTATACGATCATAGTGATATATTATCATTATACTGACTTATACGAATGTAATAATATAAAATGTGTCATATTTCGTGATGTAATATATAACACATTAAACTATGACATAAAGTGCTCGTTGCAATACATTTTTCTGAGAAAGTAATGAGTTTATATTTTTAAGTTTAATTCGAATTATTAACATCTAATGAGATCTTAAAATTGATTTGTCTCGACTCAATATGATATCGATCAGATTGTTTCGTGATAGTTCATTCTCAATTATCCATCGATATCTCAACGTGTTCTTAAACAATCACTAATCACAAACTGATCTAAATATTTTGCAGATAGATTTCAGCCTATCAATCATGAAAAACATTTTATTTTAGTGTCGACCGTTAAACTATGTCTGTATACAAAGCAAATCAGTTGTTGATGAACGTATATAGATTCCGTATTCTTCTTTGTGGACATATCTTGCACTCACTAGTTCATTCTTATGATATAAAATATACGTAGACTATTTCTAATTACAGGAAAGACATAAAACTTATTTATTTTTATGGATCTAGCTCTATTCCAAAACAAAAGACAATATAAACTCAGAAAGCTGGAAAACTACCAAGTTTCTTGGTGCCTTACTACTACTCCTTCGCCGACAATTTTAGCACCATCTCACGGCGGAGCGGACTAAAATGATATAACTCGATGACTCGCGGATCTCTGATCAAGATAATATAAAGGAATTATTTTCCTCTCTGTGATATATAGACATACACATACATATATATGTTGTTCCTGATATAAAATAATTAGAAAAAAATGATTAATTATCAATATTTTATGAACTTGGTCCAACTGAGACAATTGCATCTTGTTCAACACGAAATAGCCAATTTTTTTGTGGTGACGTAACTTTATCAAATGCAGCCTTAAGTACTAACTTTCCACAATGAATTTCTTCTATTATTGCATTTGCTTCCCATGTTTCCATTTTAATTATTTTCTCCTTAACTGAATAACTTTCATGCTGTTCAATAGGAAATAAACCACTTTCTAATGTAGGACCTGATGGCTGAGACCATATTACATTACACTGAATTGGTGAATCTTGTGCATTATAGATAGCAGCTGAATAAACAACAGCTGGTGGAAGTGAAGCTAAAATTCTTAATGCAAGAAATAATGTGCCAATAGCAAAATAGATCATCGACATGACTATATGTATCTACAAATAGAGAAAACAGTAACTTTTATTCTTCGCATGAAGATGATAGATCATGTTAGATTTTATTTCGAGAAAATAAATTTCAGCGAGAATAATCTATTATTTGTGTTCTATTGTTTGCAAAATTTTTGTAATTTTTCAAGTAGACCAATATATTGGCCATGTTCATAGGCTGTAGAAAAATCAATCAATTGATTGGCGAATTCTAGAATAGAAAAGAAAATATTTGTTGTTTTAGAATTTAGAATTTACACTTATTAACAAAGCAACGAAATTATTTTAAATTAACTATTTCTTAAGCAACCTGTATGTATAGTATGTTCTTGTCGAACAATAAAATGAAATTTGAATAATTCCAAATGAAACGAAAGAGTTCGACAGTTAAGAAGTATATGGATATACTGCTTACCAGTTGTTATGTCTGATAATCGTTGTCGTGTATATAAATTTTTAATGATGATAATCAGAACGTTTAGACTTAGATTTTAATCTTTATGTCTCTCTGCTTATATAGAAACAACAGATACAGGTATGATGTTAAGGAAAAGTGGAAATAAACGCATAGGTAACATAAAACAGTGGGAAAAATACCTGAGTCATTAATCAAAGGAAAGAACACTATAAGGGAAAAAAACAAGAGGGCGCATAGTAGAAAAATACCTAACAGAACGAAAGAAAACGCACATACATGGTTAACAAAGCCATTATGCTCCCCTCTACAAACTAAAATATAAAGGATATCACAAAACATTTTATACCAAATGAATGCTTATTAAAAACTGGATTTATGATTGAAATTACAACAATTATTGCCTATGAAGTTATTCAAATATCTTAAACTACATACCATAATGCACTCGTACTCAAAGATTTTCATTCTTCACATATATATCTTCACAAAGAATAATAGTAGATTCGTAGTCTCCATCAAAAACTGAATCTATAGACCTGTCATTTGTATATTTTTGACGGAAAAAAATGGTTTGAAAAAATCCTGAGAAGTACCCGAGGCAAAAAAATTTTTTGAAATGAAATATCACGATTTATGTATCAGTGAACGCAGCCTTTGACGAAGACGATGAATCTAATATTATTTGTGTTTAAAAATGTAATCATAAAGCAAGTATTGCAATATAAGAGCCATTTGGAGCATAAAAATACTATAGGTTTTATAATATCAGATCGATAAAAGAACTATTATACGTTACCTCCTAGGGTTTCTTTCAAACTATTTTTTTCCGTCAAAAGTATTCAAATGACATGTCTCCATTATTCAGTTTTTGATGAACATTACAAATCTGTTATTATTTTTAATTTCATATGTAATACTTGCTTTCACTACACTCATAAATTCACTTTTTGATGAGCATTCATTTGGTATAAAATGCTTTGTGATATCAATTATACTTTAAGTTGTATAGGAAGGCGAACGTAATGTTTTTGTTGCATCCTGTGTATGGAAAATAATTTTAACAACTTTTTTTTAATGACACATCATATGTACGTGCCATAACAGTCATCACAAAAGAATTGAAATAAGAAAACAAAACGAAGATGGACGACATGCATGAAACGATAAATTTAAAAGGAGGAATATTTTGTATCACTTAGAAATAATTTTTGGACGTAAAGGGGTTCTCCATTACGAGTAAAAAGAAAAATGTGATGTATGCAATATTTTTTGTCATGATTCGAAAATAGAAGGAATTAGTGAACTATGCTGTAAATTTACTAACCTTCTCCAATTCCATGTTCTTCAAGTAAATTAAGTAATTTATCATAAAGTTCTCCATCAATAACAGCACAATCAGTACTATAAACACGATCATTCCAGTCTCCATCATGAATAGCAAATTCATCAATTTGAAAATCTTCTAATTTATCATTTTCATTATTGATTTCTCCTTGTTGTTGTTCATTTTCTCCACTTTGATATTGTTCTGGTACATTTGAATAATCTTGGGGTAAATATGAACATAAAAATGATAATGTTTGTCCACCACGATTAATATCAACAGTAAATGTTGGTCGTGATTTTAATTGTGATGATGGTTGAGATGCTTCACTACCTGATTGCTGTTGTGCTGCTGCATCTAAATCTATGTCTTGATCAGTTTCAGCTGTATTTACTGTATTTGTTACATTAAATTTAACAGTAACTTTTTCTTTTCCTGATTTACGAGTCAATGTTATTTCAGGACCATCGCATTGAACCTATCATATGTAATGAAAACGTTTTCAACGAATATGTACGGAAGTGAAGTTATTCTTTTATCATTAGAATTAAATCATCAATCGAAGAGAGAAAAGCAAGTATAGAACAAATTTTCAAAATTCAAAAATTTCTTATGAAAACATTATAAAGGTGAATAAGTGTGACTTCAAGATTCAAAATATGAAAATTGAAATGATACTTTATTCATTGTACATACAATCTAATAAGAAAAGAACTTGTATTTGGTTCGATTAAAATATTTACAACTTATTACAAATTAATCATTCTTTACAATTCATGCAATTCTTTCATTGCCTCTCTTTCTCCTATACATTATCAACCTGAAATCTGTGAGAAAAGACGTTCGATGGTATAGACAATGAGAAGGGAAGTCTTTTACTTACAAAGGAATTTTTGCAATTGTCCAATCGTTTGTGACTATTGCTTACTCAGTCATGGACACGTTAGTCGATTTTTGTTCTATGAACATACAGTTACTAATAGATTTGGTGGAAAACGTCAAATAGAGAAAAAAAAGGAGAGAAATTTTCTTCCAAAAAAAAAGGATTACTATTAAAATTACGAACAAATGTTTATTTTATTCTTTAGTTCTTTGATCAATAAAGTTAATCCGACCAGTAACTATTTCGAATCTCACTGTTTTTAAACCTAACATTCAGTATTTCAACAAGCAGTTGAAAAGCTGCTTTGTTTGTTGACTACTCCAAATCGAATCTTGCTGCAGGGTATGGATTTAGAGAAAATCGAAAACAACACCCACACGCTTCTTTTCATGTTTTTTTCGATATACTCTCTTTCACTGTTTTCATCTACTACGTTTTAATTTTCGATGTTTTTCTACCTTTTTGTGAAATAATATCTAAAGAGATTGTATATCAAATAGAGGTTTGTTACAACATACTAACCATTTCTCTATTGTATTTCTGAAGGATTAAGCAAAAAAAGAGTGAAGAAATTTGTCCAAATGTAGACAGAACAAAATAATCTTTCTGTGATTAGTCACAGTAGTTACATCATCTTTCACATTTTAATCTTCCAGAAATTATACAAACAGATTTTTTCGACGTTTTCCGTCAAATTGTCGTTAAGAGTCTAATTGATCGAATTTCTAGCTAAAATTTTTTCTATCGATAGGCCTTATACTTACTCAACATCCTGTAAAGTTTTCGACTATGGCAAACAGATTCGTATTAAGATGTTAGCTTCTCATAGAAATATCGTTGGTTTGTAATGTAGTCTGAAAAAAGGGTTTCTTTAAAATTTAGCTCAAAATTTTGAGTATTTCTAATGACTATGAGATCTAATTGTAAATGAAATTTGATTGATCAAGTTCTTAGTAATTCAATGATCATAGGGCAAAAAAAGATCGGAAAAACAAACTAAAATAAAGTTGTTTTTTTACTATTTATCCTGATTAGTCGAATGGTAATAGTTTTAAACGATTAAACACTAAGAATGTGCAATTTTATTTTCCTATTGATTCATTTTCTTCTTACATAATTTTCTTAATCAATGTGTACAAAAAAACAAAAGTGCATATGTTATTATTATAAAACAAACCTCAAAACCTTGAATTGTTGGTAATTGACTTGGATGTTTTTGTGCAGTTTTTTCTAAGTGGATTTCTTTTTCAAGAAATTTACTTAAATCTTTATAAGCATCATTTTGTATTTGAGCAGATGAAAATAATCGAAATTGTTGACTATTTAATATTGGTTTTCGAATAAAAATTTGTTGCTGAATCGATGAATAAAATCTTCGATGTGTCACTATTTGAAATAAACCACGTGTTAAATTACGAAAAGCCATTATCTATGTTTTATTTTCTATATAGCAAAAAATCTGCAATGAAAGAATCCTAAATTATCATTGCTAAATCAAATCTTGTTTAAACTAAAGTAAAAAAACAAAAAAAGTAAACAACTAATTCTAACGTCCTTGTTGAATACGTTGAACCGTTCGATTTGTAATCAACATTGTACAATCAAGAAAACGTTCAACACAATTTTGTAAACATGTTATTTGTCTTGTCGATAAATCACTTAGACTACCACTTGATTCCACACATTTATCAAAACAAACATTTGTTAAATGATGAACCTATATACGAAGATTATTTATTAATTTTATTTAAAAAAAAAGATTTTTATGTATTACTTGAGTTGTTAATTGATTTTCAAGTTCTTTTGCAGCAACAAATTTTTGTAATTCAGGATCGTTTGCTAATGATGACATACTCATAGTTTATTCAAATGTACCGAACAAAAATATGCATTATAATAGAAACAAATCCATTGGTTTTTTAGAATTAACCAATACCAGTAATTGTTTATTTTTTTTCTTTTTCTTTGCATTACTCATTTACGCATTCAAAGTGACGGAAAAATGTATGTTGATTTTTTCTATTAGTAAAATATAGACTATCGAAATATTTTTAGGACTAATACTCATCCATCAATAAAATGGAGTCAGAAAAAGGATTATATTATATTGACAATTGCTGTGCAAGATATTGATAAACCTGATATAAATATTGAACCAACGAAATTTCATTTCAAGTAAAAGAATAACTATTGAACCTTTCTTTTTTTTTTAAATTTAATAAATTGTTTTATTCTAGAGGTCAACAAATAAAAGGATCGAATTATGATACAACACTTGAATTTTTTGATGAGATTGATCCAAAAGTAGGTTATTCCTGTTTGAAAAATCAATTGTTCAACGAATTATTAATTTACAGAAAAGAATTATAGACTAGACTGTCGAAATTTTGATAGTTTTATAAAGATTTCAATTTGGTCGGTGGATTTTTCTCTTAAAATATATCTTAGTTTAATCTCGTAAGAAATTTTTCAAACATCTAGTTGAAATAGAAGCGCCTGGAGTTTCGACTATGGAGGGTGACCATCATTACAGTGCGAAAGGTGTTTCAAAAATACTATTGCAATGGCGACAGCTTCTTGAGCGTATGGTTGTTAGCGAAGACAAGACTCACACATCCATACCATATGATAATACAAGCAGAGGCAATATAAATTTGTTAGTCTCTGATGAAGTTCAAATGTCTGTTTTCAGATAAACTGGCGGTGATCGAGTATATAGTAATCATGAATTCTAGAAAGTATTCTTAATCGCGAGTATTTGATGTCTTGAGAAACATTTTTTTATACGAAGATGACGCCTGACCAAGATTAATTTAATAGTATCTGTGAAGCTTTGTTCGAACGACTAAAATGGTCTGGATACAATAGAAGTCTTGAGTCTACTGATACCTTTTTTTAGATCGATCCCTGGTATCGAAATTTATTTATTCTTATGAGATAGTTCATTTAAAAAAAAACGTTTGAAAAGAATCGGTTCATTAGTTGTACTTAAGTTCATATTGAATCCGTCAAATATAATTGTCAGAAATAAGATATGTTTGTGTTATGGGAACCGAACTGAATCTGGTCAAAACTTATAAAATAAGCTTACGAATATATTACAGTAGACATGCACTTAACCCAAATGCTGGCTCGATATTCGAAAACTATCCCACCATTTCAGACAGTGTCGGATATTTGAGTAATTGTCCTAGGCATTTTTTGAAGTTTACGAGCAATCACGGACGTGCCCTAAGGTTCGATTTCGAATATTTCTAAACATCATTAACTTGTTTCAGTATGCTTGCCGAAGTTCGGTTTTTTAATTATTTATTTCTCTGTGTGTAGATGAATGGAGGGAAGGCCAGATTTTAGCACTGTGAATTATTGAAGTCTCGCTTTTCTTCCTTTGCGGTAGATCCACCATAGCTCAGTCAGAAATTTTGTCTTTTAGTTTACTTCTATGTTCTTTTATTAATTAACCAAAAATGAGCGCATTCGAAAGCGAACCTAAACATTGAAGTCTAGTGCATGTGTTTATTAGAATATCAATTTTAGATAAGATTGATCCGTGGTTCTTTAGAACTAAACCGATTTTAATTCGGATATTGGCATATGATTTGAATGTAGCAAGACAAACTCTCAAGGTCTTTTGTTTGATACATTAAAATAAAATCCGATTCTTTTACAGAACGATAAATATACTTGACGTTCAGCGTTTGTATAGATCACGTCGGTTCAACTTAAACACCGTCATGACTGAGTGCCTACGTTGATCAACACGTATCCACAAGGCACAGTGTTCAAACCTTGCTACCATCAGCCATGAAATGATTCTGGGCAAATAACTAACAGCTGTTTGTCTTGGATCATCCGTCCGATAGAATGATGATTACGTTGTGATATACACCTACTCTTGTGGCTATTATGTAGTTAGTTAGCTTGTATGAGAAGATTAAGCAGTTGAGCTCAAGAACTGTGTCAAACCGACCTTCTGTTCAGAGCTACAGCTCGTATTAGTTGTGGAAAAGATATCGAACTATTGAATCTACCATTCATAGATCGTTGGTATTTTCTGTTTTTTTGGTTGTGGCTAGAATACTTAGAGTATAGATTTATTCTACCAAGAAGACACTTCTTTGATTAGCTTCATGACAAATAAAAAAACACCCTAAATATTTTTTAGGCATCAAAATATCGTAAAACAAGTCAAAATCATTGGGAATTTATGCTTAAAAAGAAAGATCCAAGCAAACCATTTTGGAAACGATTGATTAAATCGACAGAAAAAGTAAATATTTATTTTTGTAATCTCAGTTTTTTGTTTAATTTTTCTCTATAGTGTTCATGGATAACTGTTGATTGGAATCATTTTGCTGGTGAAGGTAGGTTTCATTGATAGTGAACAAAAAAAAAATACTTGGGAATTTTTTTTTATTAGGCGATGATGATGATGATGAAAAGGGTAGTACCGGTGGTCAAGATTGGGGTAATATAGGTAAAATACATTGCAAAATTTACCAAAAAAGGCATTTTCATTAAAATTTATTTTTCTAGACGCAATGCTTAAACAAATGGGCGGAGATGTAAGTGGTGCTGCTGCAACTGGTTCGAATGATGCTGATGATAAAGAGATAGACAGTGATGATGAACCAATGCCTGATCTTGAAGAGGCACCAAAAACGAACGATGAAAAGGATAAGTCTGCAACAACAACCAATTAAATTTAACTTTTTTTTTCTTTAACATTCGAGCATGGTTTTTTTTTATAATAAATACTAAAGCCATCGTTACACATTTTAATGTTAATTGATCATCAGAAATCTCTAAAATCACTTTTTTTTCGGTCTTCGTCTTAGTTAAATTTTTCTATTCATTTTGTGAATTCAGTTTCCTTTCTACAATCATGCAACGGTGTTTATAATCTTCGTAGTTTTTCAAGCTCATATAAAATCTACCTGAATGATTTCAACTCATTAATAGCACGATCATTGTTTTATATGCATGTTTTGGAATTAAGGATGTACCAAAATGATTTTCTGCCTCAATCAGAATTGTTTCTCGGATTTGATCGTATGACTTAGAAAATCCTCCAAAACCGAATAGTTTTATGACGCATATAAAATCTATATGAATGATCTTGAATCAGTGATTAACCAAAAGTCTGTTTGAATATATTAAAATTCAGAATCTGCCACACTAAAAATTAGAACTTTTAGAAATAATTCGAGAACAAGTCGTGCAAGATATTCAAGTGAAAGCTGTCTTGTTTGACCGCTCTTGCCTCCTGTCTAGAAATGTTCCCTTTTGACTGACTGTCCTAGACGTTCAGTTTCATAGCATTTTTTAGTGAAAGCTTGTTGTATCGTTATCTTCATTAGATAAAAATAATCCGTCATTGCCAATTATTTTATTTATTCAGTCGCAAAAAAGAAGACCTTTTCAGTTAAATACATTTTAAAATTGAACAAGTCAGCGAAAATTGACACAAATATGAATAATCAATTGATTAAAATGATCGGTGAACAGCACTGCCGCCCGCCAGGAAACGAAAAGTAGATGCATATAAATTTCATGAAAAACTAAACGTCTTATAGATAATCTTGGTGAATGATACATTGATAGTCTTATAAATTTAATAGAATATTTATATAGTTTGTCGTTCAAAGTTGCTAAACAAAAAAACTGACACTTTTATTTCTTTTTTTATCTTAACTTGTATATGATCTACGTTACAATGTTAATGTTCAGTCAAAAATAAAGAAAATCTAGCTAGTTGAAATTTTCGATATTTTTCCTTTTGCACTTTTTACTGCCGATCGTTTGTTCTAATATACTGTGTTTTTTGTATTCAATGATTGATATACATGGTTGATTCGTAGATGATGCACCATAACATCCTAAAAAATTGTACTTTTCGAAATGCTGTTTAACACCGAGTTACCTCGCAAAACGATCAAAGAATCGTAATAAGTGTCTGTACTAGCGATGTGTAGGACCTACTTTACTAATTAAAAGTTATACTTAAGTACTCTATGGTTTCAAGCGGATTATCTTATATATCATGTCAATTAGACTGTAAATCAAGAGAGATAACTCAACAAAATGGCAGTTGTCGACTAAATAAATTATAAAACAAGCTTTAAAGGCTTTTCTTTTTAATATAAGAAACGAATAAATCTTGCACTAGTTTTCTCTAGACCGAGATCATAAGCAGGGCTGAGACCGAAGAAACTTGGTTCCTCACATATATAGTTCGAACTTCCTTCATGACTAACCATTTGGAAAACTTCAACGAATGTATTAAATTACGGTTCAACCGTGCCCGAAAACTGTCGATTCATCAGACTCTAGTATAGAGCCATTTTGTATATTGTTATTTGTCATCAATACTTTTCTATTTCAGATAACATGACTGATAATACTACAAATGATTCAGTTCATGGTTGTCGTTCAAATACAGAACGAGTTATAACTGATGATGAATATGCATGTTTGTATTCTCTAGAACAACAAGATCGTCAACAAGTATCAGTATTTAAACAGAATCAATTTGATAAAAATGCTCAAAAATATTGGGATCAATTTTATAAACGAAATACAAATAATTTTTTTAAAGATCGCCATTGGACATTAAGAGAATTTAATATAAATATAAATGAAACAATGAAATTATTTGAAATTGGTTGTGGTGTAGGCAATTTTTTATTTCCATTGCTTAATGAAATGCCAAATTTATTTATATATGCATGTGATTTTTCATCAACTGCTATTCAACTTCTTCGTGAAAACTCCAATTATGATCCACAACGTATACAATCATTTATTTGTGATTTAACTGATGATAATCAAATTCCAATTGAAGAAAATTCAATTGATATTTGTTCAATGATATTTGTTCTATCAGCTATACATCCAGATAAAATGTCTCATGTACTTAAAAAAATTCATAAAGTAAAAGTTATTTTAAAAAAATACAATTTCGAAAATGTTATTATTTATTCTTCTTTTGTTTATTAAGGTTTTAAAACCTGATGGTTATCTTTTATTTCGTGATTATGGTTTATATGATCATGCAATGTTTCGGTTTGCTCGTCAAAGACAACATAAATTATCCGAAAATTTTTATGTCAGACAAGATGGTACACGAGCTTATTTTTTTTCACTTGAATATTTAAAAAGTTTATTAAATGAATGTCAATTCGATATTGATGAACTTTCATATGTATTTAAAGAAACAGTGAATATTAAAGAAGAAATTTGTGTACCGCGTGTTTTTGTACAAGGAAAATTTAAAAAAAGAAAAATCGACTAATAAATAAAACATCACAAATCATATGAAAATGCTCCTTTTTGTTTTTGAATATTGCAAGAGAATCAGTATATTGGAGAGGACCGATCGAACTGATTCCCGATCTTTGTCCTGATACTTTGAGCTTATATAGAAGGTCTCGACATTAGAATAATCACAAAAATATTTGAGTCTATACACCTTTTGTGAAACAAAAACTAAAAGATATGTTGAAGTATATAGGATAGAAATTTTCACCCTCTTTTCTCAACAGACCGTAATAGATACGAGCCGGATACCATCATATACCATAACGTATGCTGTTGATTTACGATCATAAAACCTATATTAATAACGGTTCGTTACAATACACTTACTACTTCCTTATAATACTGAAGGATTAAGCACAAGGAGGATGAACAAATATGTTCCAAGATAGACAGAAGAAAACAGTTTCTGGTGATGAGCAGCAGTAGCAGCTACATCATGTTTTACATTTTATCCCGTACAGATTGTAATATTTGTTCACGTAGAGAACAGAGTTCCTGGTTAGGAGAGCCTTTGCATCCCTATAATATCCGACTTTTTGCAAAATTTTCACAGCTTCGTGATAACTTGGACAGCAGTCTGAATAGAATTGGAGAGGTACGGTCTGTTGTGCCCACCTCACTTCTAAAAAATATTGGCAACTCTAGTAGAGAGTTCTCAGATATGTGAAAGTGTTGGAAATATCCGCGCATGGTATCTTAGATTTTTCCAACATGATTTATTAGATTTTTCCTAGTGTATTATTGTGTGTCGTATCGTGGGCTTTCTTTATATATTTGTTTACGTCGTACTTGGTTTTGTTCTACATGCTTATATATATATCTGAACTTTCTGTATTTGCTTGATAACTCTGTTTCTTTCTCTCTAAGAAGATTTTCAATGTTGCACTGGAAAACGATTGCTTTCTTATTGACATATGCAATGTTCAAAAACTAATTCAACTTCAGAAACGGTCAGAAAAATTGAAATTATTAGAATATTCTTAAGATCATGAGGCTTCTTTATAGACGTCATTTTAAGTTAAAATTTTTTTGTTTCCCTATTCTGTTAATATCCTGTCTATTAATATAAATATAGCGAAAGGTCATAACTCTGTAGAGAGGGGCTGTAAGCTCGAATCTTTACAAGATTACTTTAGCATAATTTGCAAAGAATCGTTTCTTCTGTTTTTTTTTTGAATATTTTTCAGTGCTCACTTTTTTTAGAATACTCATTAAAGTCCAAACCTGTTCAAAAATAGTCAATAAATATCATCGAAAATATTAGAAAAACAAGATCATCAAATAAATGACAGCTCATTTACTTCAGTAGAACAGAATACAGATCAACTGTAAGCAAGTAAATTTAAAGCAAAAGATTTCAACTCAATAAATATTTTTAGACTTATTCCTTACATATTACTTAACAATACAAATAGCGAATAACATTCAGTTCTCGTTATAAGGGAAAATAAGGTAAGTCTCTTGAATAAGTAACTATCATAGAGAAAAAGCTACGCAGATATTTCAATTTGAACTTACAGTATTGAATGGTATCTATTTAATCAAACCATAGTATCCTAATGAAATTGAAAATATCCTGTTGTCTTATTCGAAATAAATATCTCTAGATATTACTTTGCGTTGAATAGACTATCAATACGTACCAAATGAATGAAAATTTATTTCTAATCGGTAGAAACATAATTCACTGATGTCCATCACCATGGCGATAGCTTTGGTTTTGAAGGATGTTGTAAAACTGCATGGGTTTGTACGAAACTTCAATATTCATAAATACAACACTTTGAGACTCGGTGGATCTTATTGATTAGCGACAATAATTCTAGTTCAGTATAGAGATACGTGGAACCAAGGTTTTTTTATTCGGGTCTAGAGAAAACTATTCAGAATTGATTCGTATCGCACCTGAAAAACCTCCTTAGTACTCGTTTTTGTGATTTATTTAGTTGACGACTAACACTTTTTGAGTTTTCTCTTTTTAATTATATTCTGATCGATGATGTATATGATCATTCACTTGAAACCATAGAATACTTAACTATTATCATTGATTTCGCTTGAGACAATTCGTTCTCATAACTCCAAACCTGGAAAACGTTCGAATTCGAGTTTCGTATATCTCTAATTCAGTACAATCACAGAAGTCAAATTCAAGACATCTTTTTTAAAAACCATCATGACGGATATTTTCTAGTAGAAACTAACTTGTTTATTTCTTTTTAATTTATTTTGAAAGACTTTGATGCATTTATTATATATTAAAATTGAAATTAAAATAGATTACTCGTATAGAAAAATATTCGAATCACAATAAAGAAAGATCACCATGTTTAAGTTTATCAATTCTCTGGAGTAGTTCAAGTCGAAGTTCGACTGGCATTTTGAACGTGTTAATCAAATGTTCTTCTTTAAGAAGGAGAAGAGCTGTTCCATCAATAAGATGCTCTTTGATTATTGTTGCATAACAATTTTTACCAAGTACATATTCGAAAAATGAACAAACTTCATCGATCTGAATAAATGAAAAAAAAAACAATAAACAAATTAATTCATTTAAGATGTATATTTCGGAATTCTCAGCTTTTATTGATATAAAACAGCAAAAATTCATTCATAACAACGGTTCGACAGGAGTAGAGCAGTAATTCAATCTTAACTACATAATCAACTGAATAATCGATATGAGAAAACATCATGCATATGTTAATGAAGTTTTATCAATCAAGAAATACACTTTCTTAGGTATTCTTTTCTCATAAGTACACAGAAGAATTTTTCGATATCTATTAGAAAAAGACTTTCATTAAATGACTTACATTCCATTGATGAACATTAGGGTTTTCAGTAAAGATTAGTTGAACTCGTTTTTTTGATGATGATAATGATGACTTGTTCTCTTGTTGTTGAAATGGTTTTAAACTTTCTTGAATTGTCCAGCCATCAATTACATGAGTAGCCACTGTTGATTTTGATTTACGTCTTAATACATTTTGATCTTGACGACTTTGTAACGTCTTAGTCGACGGTACTGATTTAGGTTTTACTGTTTGACTATCTTCTGGTTGATGGTTATCGAGTGGGCTGATAGCAGTAGTCACTTGAGCAACGTCTAATCGATTTTTAACGAAAAATTAATAAATAAAAGCGCTACGAATGATTTTATACGGACGAAATATTGTCGATGATGAATTAACTGGAACATCCTATAAGCAATAGAAAATCGGAGATAAAAATATAATTGAATAATGCGACTTTTAACCTGTTGTTGTTGTTGATTTGTTGATGGTGGAATAATAACTATACGAAAGATTAAAAGAATCACATGATTATCTAATTATAAAGTTAGTTACTCTGTGATGAATCTGTTTGATGGTTATCATTCGATGTTGCCATCTGATTTGATGACATATTTGTCGATAAAAGTTAGAATAATCTTAATAAAACAAAAGAATTTTTCAAAGTTATTTGATTCTAATGTTTTTATAATTTCATTTCAGAATTTTGTTGTATTATAACTATGTACACTACATAGTAACTTAATCGATAACTATTAGTAACTGGAATGAAATATGGCTGAAATACTACAGACAAAGTAGTTCTCCGACGATTTAGTGTAAAAGATTTCTGTATGAGGAAAAAATGTCAGTAGTGACAAGGACTACTAATAAATAGATCAATAATTTTGAATGAGTATTTTTCTAGAAGTAAGGATGATGCCTATGATGTATCTTTCATTTTTTAATTTTTCTTTCATATGTAGTCATTTGACAGAAACAAAAGTCTAGGCGAGGAGAAAGAAGGATATTGAGACAATATATTTTTTTTCTTGCTTTCTTAGCAGCAAGGAAAAAACCTTTTGCAGGTTTTCTTCCCATCTATTCTCAATAGGAAGAGAATGTAAAAAAATTTTTTTCGTTTAATTTCTACCTTCAATCAAAATAGAGAAGTAACCCTCCGTATGGAAGCCATTTGGCTTAACGACGACCTCTGTTGGTGACCGTCCAGCGATAGTTATCTAATTTTTTTTCTATTTATTCCCACAAATGGATGAAGAACTTGTTATTCTATTGGTTTTATGACATATTGACTCATATAATAGAAAAATTTTGTAAGAATGATGTAATGTGACATTTACATGATGAAATGAATTATTCGAAAGGAAAAGCAAAAAAATAAATAATGTCAACAGGATTGATTTATGAAAAATTATACAGCTTATTTAAAGATAAATCTTTTTTTGTGCTAAACTTTTTATATCAAGAATGAAAATAAATAAATTTTTTCTTTGTATAAATTATAATAAAAGGGAAAATTTTGATTAAAATTCATTGTTTTGATACCTTTTCAATATTGTACTATTTTAAACATAAAAAAAAACATGTTAGATTTTTTGTTTAGATAGTGATTAATAGAAACGTTTCAGTAAGATCATATCAATTGATTCGTTATATAAATATTATTTTTCTGTTGCTTTCGAGAGAAAAAAAAGAGAAGGCCGATAAATAATTAATGATAAGTATGTATATGATTCTTCTAACCTGCTCAGTTTTCTAGTTTTGAAGGGAAAGGCAACCAAAAAGAAAAAGAAAAAGGATGATTCCTTTACATCAAAGCATCATTATATTGCTGATAAGGGCCAACTATTATGTGTCATAATAATAATATGGAAGGGGGTTTGAAGAACAATAATATTGATTGGCCCTCGTTGTTCTTATGAATTTTATGTACATAAACGGCATTATCATTTTTAACTCTTCAGTTTCTCTCATTTTTTTTCTGCTTATTGTTGGCTCAAAATGTGCCATGATAAAAAAAAAGAGAGAGAGAGGAAAATAGAGAAAAACGGGGGGGTGAGAGACATTCCCATAAAAGGACTGTGCAACATCGTATTTTTTTTTCTATCGATTTATTTTTTAGTTTAGTAGGAGAAAAAAAAACTAGCAAGGTATTACTATCGACAGAAAGATTGTATTGCATGTGTCAATATTTAAGAGACAGTGACATACATATGTAGATTGTCTTAGTAAAGCGAATTGGTTTTTAGGTATTTTAGTAGTATTCACATTTTGTGCATCAATTATTATGATTTAAAATATGCCGTTAGTAAAAGGTAACTTTGATGAATATAATTGATTGTTTTTGTATATTCTATTAAAACATAATTGAATATCTCAAGTAGTTTGCCTCGTCATTTAGAATTTATAGCAGAATTCATGTTATTTTGTTTTTTTTTTTGATTCATTTGTCTTCTTTTTTTTCTTTCTATGTGAATTAGATAAAAAGTAACGAAAAAAGAAATCTATTCATTTTTAGTTTTATTCTTCAAAAAGAACGTAAATAAATATTTTTTTGAATTTGTTGTTAAAGAAAGAATGAATCTCTATTATTTTTTTTTTTTCTTTCTTAATTTCAGATACAAAAACTAAATGCATTTCTTGTGGTTGTCGTAGTCAGCTAGCAAAGCGTCATTCTTAAACGAATAAAATAAAAAGTCGGTTTGAATTGGTTGATATTGTGTGTGAGTTTTGGCTGAAACTATAAAAATATTGCTCACTGATTAATACAACAACTACATCGTCATCAACAACAACAAAGAATAGTTGACGAAGGAAGAAACGACAGAAAAAAAAACAGAATCAGAGAAAAAAAAGGAAAAGAAAGAAAAAAAACATCCACTTCGCTATTTAGTCTGTTCGGCTGCTCGGGCATGTTTCATAGTGACGACGAGCGCAATCGCAATGTCGACCCCTACAATGAATCACAACAGTCATATGCATCAGCGGCAAGAACAACAACAACAACAACAACAACAGCAACAACAAGAGCAACAGATAAACGAAATACAACATGCACATTCGAACTCGGCCAATTCACCCCATGCGACTTTGATACGTTCGGATTCGACTTCGACAGTTATTTTGGAGGAAGAGGAGACTCGTACATGTCGTCGCAATCGGCCTCCGACTCTTACACCTGCAGCATGGACGAGCCTCAGTATTCATCTACGTTCTGTCCTGAAGACAAGTGGCCTATTTAACAAAGGTTTGAATTTGAATCGAAATAAGAAATTTAATAAATTTCTTTTCTATTAAAATCAAATAGATCTTGAATCATCTGACAAGTTGAATGAGCTATTTGCAGATGGAAATGAATTTTCTCTACAAAGATTATTAAGTGAAGTTGGTGCTAATGATGCAAATATTGATATGAATGAATTAATGAAATTAGATTCAACCAAGCTTTTCGATTCACGAACACTTAGTGAATTTGTAAGTGAAATGCAAAAAATCATTCTGTTCTTTTTTTTCCTCTGTAATATTTCATAATTACAAATCATGATAAAGATATAGAATGGACTAATGGTTTTTTTTCGTTGTCTTTATAGTTACGATCTGAATCATTTGATCAACTAATCGCATCAGCACTAAATAGCACAGATGTTAATCCACCTGCAATTGCTTGTTCAACAACGTCATTTTCTGAACTTCGACCGGTATCACCTGAATTAACAACCAATAATATGTTTCATAGAGAATCCGATCAATTAAAACTCGAATCTAATAATCCATTACTTTATACTCAAATGAATTCATTTGATGCATTAACAACAATGACAGATCCTCCACAATTCGATTATAATCAAGGCGCATTAAATGCTTTTGAACATGATCATGCTTTTCTTTCTAAACGAGCACCAGTTACTGATACATCAAAACCAACCAATTCCAAACGAAGACCTGTACGTGGATCTCGTCGAACATCATCACGAATTCAATCACGTGCTGTATGCTCAACATCATCAGAAAGTAATTCAACAAAAAGTACACATTGTCGTAATGTTAGTCGAGCAACAGATATTAAAACACCTGATGATTTATCATATTATTTGGAACGTCGTCGAAAAAATAATGAAGCATCAAAAATGTCTCGAGCTGCTCGAAAACAAAAATTCGGTGATATGGATCATCAATGGTAAATAGAAAAGAAATTTTTTCGTTTATTTTTCAAATTTTAATTATTTTCTTTTTTTTTTGTTTTCAGTGAAGAATATGAACGTGTTAATGCTGAACTTCGTATGAAAATTGCAACACTTGAAACAGTAACAGCTACACTAAAAAGTGGACTTGTTAATAATTTTCAACGAAAACCTAGTACTTAAATCTAAATATGAAATATACACGTGTATCTTCTTTGATTTTTCTCTATCGATTTTTCATAAATATTTGTCAAATATGTAACGAAAAGTATTTTCCTCGAGTGATCGGATTTCTGATTAGATTTTTTATGTTTGGCTGAGGTAAAAAGAAAAAATAAGATTCTGATGGTTTGATAGTTACAATGCAATATGTGTAGTTGCCCTTTGTATCTTACTATCAATTCGTGATATATCATATATATATATGTATGTGAGTTCTTTTTTTTTTTTTTTTTGGTGAAAAATAATTCTATGTAAACAAAAAAAAACCAAAACGTAGAAAAGTAGACAAAAAATATGATTTTATTTTGTTGTTATATGGATTTATTTTTCTGTGTTCTCTTATCTGTAATCGTTGCTTGTATTTTTAAACGCGAATTAAAGAAAGAGGAAAAACTACATATGATTAAATATGTATGTATGTTTTTACATTTTGTGATATTTCTATACTCTCTCTCTCTATGTTATAAATTGTTTCGAAGAGAGTAAGTAGCAGAGTAATATTTGTAATTATATTGTATTATTATAATCCAGAGTCTATAATTAAATTCTTTTTTTTTTGTGCTATCCATTATGAATTCGATGTATTGTTTTGTTTTATTATTTTTGCTTTAAAATAACTAAAATATATGATGACATACCAGAAGAGGACTGCTTTATAAAAATTCTTCTTTTTTTTTTATGAAATGCAATGCAAACAAATATATGATTGATAATATGGAACATCGAAGAACTTTAATATATACTAATATAAAGCAAAATCAATGACATATTAAGTATCTGCTAGACATTTTTTATTTTATCTAAAGAACATAGAGAATACATAATAAAATCGGACAATCGGTCATATCGTCTCTTGGGAAGTAAATCGCATGTTGCTAGTGTGACTCTGTTTTTTATTTTATTGCAATGAATCCATTTATTAAACGATGCACATATCTTTTTTATATTTTCTCATATAAAATGATAGATTGTATCCAGCTGGATTTTGTTTCTTTTTTTCTTTGTTTAGCTAACATTTCTATGCTCAAAGCATCATGATAAATCGATTGATTGTGTCAAGCGAATGAGATGAATGTATACATGCAAATTTTCAATTTCTTCTTCTCTTATTTTCGTTAAAAGATATATATATAGTTCAGATCGTATGATCTGTACATTACTTTTTCGTCTTGAGTTTATGATGGCTTTCTCTCATATATGTGTATATATATATATATGTATATACAAAATGAATGTGAGTGAACGCAAACACATTACTCATGTGCTGGTCAATACTGATATGAATGGTGAGGGAAGAAAAATCAGAGAAAAAAGAAAACGAGAATAAGGTCAGTATTCTCTCTATAGAAATGGTATGTATACATATATATATATATATATTATTGGATAGAAAAGGAAGTCTTCTTGATGAAACATCTGATGTGCTAGCTCATTTATTTTATACTATCCTGATATGGATATGTTTATTCTTGATCAATCACATATGATGTATTCGGAACAAATACCAACATCTTCTCTTAATACAACTACAGTTTATCTTCAAGATTTTCATTCAGAACCTTGTCAAGTATGTGGAGAAAATGCTAGTGGATGGCATTGTGGTTCAATTACATGGTGAATTTATTAATCGATTATTGACATAGACATATTAAAATTATTTTCTTTAGTGAAGCATGTAAAAAATTTTTTCTTCGATCAGTCAATGGTGAATATCTTAAATACAAATGTATACGAGATAAGAAATGTATTATTACACGTACTACACGAACACAATGTCAATATTGTCGATATTCAAAATGTATTGCAATTGGCATGAAAATTATTGGTAATATTAAATTGTTTGTCTCTGCGAAATACGATCTAAAAGGAGTGTTGAAGTATATATGGCAGAAGTTAGAACATTCCACAGATGCTAATCAAAGAATATCAGTAGAGCGGTCGATTCCAAACTTCCGAATTCGATCAAACCATATTTTGTTGTTTATAATGAAATTTTCTGATCGTAATATGATAGCTAGCCCTAAAATATACGGAATACTGTTTTCCGGTTTTTGGTCTTCGATGATAAATGCTCATTTAAAATAAAAGATGAGTGCATATTTTTTTTTCATATAGTTTCTTGATAGAAACAGTATAGGATGCTGCGACTTTCACCATTGGAAAGAAGAAATGAAGTCCCATTCAATCATAAAATAATAATAAGTTTTTCTAATATGTGTTTTCAAGTTTTTTTAATTAATTTTGTTAAGGCAGTGTCGAAAAAATGATTCTTGTTAAGATAAAAAGCAAAAATGTACTTTTTCTTCACAATGATTGCTTGCAAAATTGGAGGCTTGCTTGCATAGTTTTGTTGATCTACCGTTGGCGATTCGCATGTACACTTGATAATTGAATATTTATTAAAGCCACCTGACAAAGCACATTGATTTTCAAAAAGGTTGATTAAGCGGCTTGAAAAAAAACCAGGTTGAAAAAACTTCTAATGTACGATTCGATGTATCAACATCTCGTCCTTCTAAAAGTAAAAACCATAGCTCTCCATTTAATTTCTATCAAAATTTTTTAAAAAATTCGTACATATCTTTATCGACGGGTTCTAACCATTACAGACCGTGACACACGTTATTGATATACCATCAAATAAAGTGTATCAGTAATAGCTCTTTATAATAATTTTGAATGTTCAATGTGTGAAATAATTAGAAGAAAGTTCAAATCCAAAAATTGAAGAAATCTTCAAAGAAATTCCATGTGCTGTTTGTCAATCTGCATCATCGGGTATACATTTTGGTGCAACAACATGTGAAGTAAGTATTTTATTTCGATTGATTCCCAATATATGTTTATTTTTTAATTCAGGGCTGTAAAGGATTTTTTCGTCGAATGATAAAAGAACGTATACCACAACATTATAAATGTTCAGAAAAAAATAATTGTGAAGTAAATGCTATAACAAGAAATATGTGTCGAGCATGTCGATTTCGAAAATGTCTTATGGCAGGAATGTCTATTGAAGGTTCACGTATAGGAAGACAATCAAATTTATTTAAACATAAAATGGTTGAAATGCAACGTCGAGGCTTAATTCAACCGCAATTATTTAATATATTAACTTCAAATTTAAATAATTCAAGAAAAAAGATGACACATACAAATCAAGGTGATTGTTTTTAAACTTTACCCTAAAAATCTTATTTGAGATTGAAGAAAATCAATTCTAATGTTGGATAGACTTTAGGAAACTTCTGGTTAAAAGGTTATCAGTTCGAAATAGACGACATAGTAATAAAATAAATAATGCGATTGAAATGATCAAATCAAAATGCGTTTGACTTGCCCATATCTATTGGAAAAAAATTGATGTAATTTTATAGTCGACCGATATTTTCCTTCTTGTATGTTTAAAATACGAAAGAAGTTGCCTCACTGAAGATGTACAGAATTAACTTTTATTGTTGCCACCGAAATCATCAGACAAAAGCTGTTTCAAACAATACTAAATATTATAGTAAAATATTCTATAGTTTCAATCGAATTAACTTATAAATCATGTCAGTCAGAACATAACTCAAGAGCCATGATGCGAAAAAAGAGTGCTAATCGTCTATTATAGGAAGATTCCAACGAGCTATGAATATTCTGAGAAGAATTTGGTGCACTTAGCTTATTGTTATGGAGATACTGCAGTGATACGGTACTTTTTAACTTCATGCCATAATTTCTCTCACGAACACCGGGAAAATGAATTTTCGAATTTTAACTTGAAACTCTACACATAGATAGACATTAAACAGCATGGGTTATTGCTAAAGTGTTAGGCCTCATGATTTGCTTGCATCTCAAAATAAGAAACTCGAAAAGATCTGAGACTTTCACAATAAAGCATTCTCATTAAGCCCTATCTGCGTCACAAATTTCAAATGAAAATTCGAAAAATTAGTTTTTTTTTCTGAAGAATGTTATGACATTAAGTTAAGATAATACCATATTCCTGCAGTATCCTCACAGTAATAAACTAAGGATTCGAACTTTTTTCCAAAGTATTCGTAATAGATTAGAGTTTTACAATGATGTACATAGTCTCAACTCAAGTTTTTTCTTTTTTGTATTTCATCGGATGGAAGTAAAAGAAGAGTTACAGTCCTACTCTCCTATTATTTGTAGTACTTATTGCCTTGATGTTCTCAATATGATAAAAATGTCTGATATACATTTAAATTGATAATAAAAAAAAAACTAAATAGGGAATCGTATTTCTGATTGATGAAACATTGATTTCACCTGTTTCTTGTTATAGATATAGGTTTTCATGCAGATTAATTTTCACTGTAAATAATTCCCAATTCAAAAGTATTGTAATAAATTTGTTTCTTTCAAAAATCATTATGAAAACTTTATAGATTGAAATACATTTTCATAATCATGATTTACGACTGAAACCAATTGTTCTATTTTTCTTTTTAGTACCATTAGTTGTCTCAAGTTTAGAAGATAAACTTGAGCCTGAAGTATTTCAACAAATATTGAAGATTGAAAACGCTTATATCAGTCAACTTAAAGTATATCAATTTTTCTTTTTTTTTATGTAATTTGTAAACGTTGTTTTTTAGGAACTTCCAATTTATTCGAATGAAACAGATGATTTATGGATGGCTTGTATTTCTCAATTGAATGAATATTCGAATCGTGTCAGAGATTTTATTGATAAAATTCCAAGTGATTATTATAGAAAAAACAAAACAAATCATTATCAATTGAAAACATATGTCTTTTTTTCAGATTTTAATTCTATTAATTTTATCGAAAAATCATCACTTATTCATTTATCTACTCATTCTGTTATTTTATTATGTCTTTGTATACAAACACTACGTTTACGAACAATAAATACCAATTGGAATTATTTCAATATTTCATCAAATACAACATGTAGTCAATATTTACAAGAACGTTTTCCATTTTTTTTTGAATTAAATCGTTTAACATATTCATTTGAAAAAGAACTTCAAATACTTGAACTTGATGATAAAGAAATTTCACTGATGCTTACATTACTTATAACTTCAATTGGTTAGTAGAATTTGTTTGCAGAATAAAGTGTGATTGAAAAATTTTTAGAGAATATGTTTGTTCATGTTTTTGAACCGTCAAAAAATATTTCCGTTACATTAGAACGAGAATTTCGTATTCTTTTTTAATATGAACTTAAAAATTTTGTGTCTATTTTTATTTCAGAATAGTGACGAACTTTTTTGAAATATCTGAAAAATTGCTGATAATGGTGAGCTAATAGGTTGTTGTTTATCATATAAGACCCTTTTTGAATATGAGAAAAATTATCAGACTCGGTCTTTTTATTAAGCGGACATCTCTCTACAAAATGTGATATTGAATTAATGAAGGAAGTCTTTCAACTGTTAAATAGCATTCGATTCTGGACTATAGACATAATGTGGGGCCAAATGAGTTATGAATATCCTGAAAAAAGTTCGTACCGTTAGTTTATTACTACGGACATACTGTAATTTTACAGTATTTTTTGAATAGATACCGTGGTCTTCCTAAGAGACACAAAAAAAACTAACTTTCGAATTTCCTCTTAGAACTTCATATTTAGGGGAGTCATGATATTTATTGAAAAAAAAAACTGTAAAAGTGAACAAACATGTTATTTAAAAACTTTTCGAGCACTCATTATTTTAGGGAAAATAGAATTTTTTTTGTTTTCTTCTAGGAAATAATAGTTTAAAAGAAGTCGACAATATTGAAGAAGAATGCTTTTCGATCTTATTTGATTATATGGCTGGTAAGTTTATATCTTTATGATTGTTTTTTTGTAATAATGAATTAATTTGATTATTTAGTCAAACGTGGTATTGATAATAAAGATTATTTTATTTTAACCATTCAAATTCCATTTTTACATCGTATTAGTCATCTAATATCGACAAACATAAATAATTTTAAAAGTTCATTATTTTATGAACTGTAAAATTAAAAGTTCTATTTATCTCACATGTCTACACTAGTTGAACTTGAAATATTTTTTTTGTCTTATTCTTATATTCAATTTATTATATAAGTACTTAAATAAAAATTCTCAATGTTTATTAGCATATTGAATAACGTAATTATGAATATAAAACGGCTGAAGAAAAAGCTACTCCGTATTTACATGTAATATTAATAGAAGAAAGCTGGCTTTTATCCTGGTCTCCGATTACGAATTTTTAAAAAAATAGGAATCCTTAGAGGATCAAGTTTGTCTAAAATATAGGATTTATTATACATTGTTTCTGCTCAATTTTTCGGTTTTTGTTAACTTATTCACTTGTTATCTTTCTAATGAAACAAGCAAGAACAGGAAGCTCGCCATCAGCATTCTTATCTGATTCATTTCTACTGAAATGAATAGTTAAATCAAATATCACTAGGAACTTTAATTAAAGTTTTAGAATCTTTTCCACTAATCAATGAATAATAAAAAAAAAAGGAGACCATAAACTTTGAAAGGATAAAACGAAAACAACCCAAATATTATTTGTCATGATTAAAAGACCCGGAACTTTTTCTTGACAATTCGGCTCAATTAGAAGCTGAAGTTACATCCATGTGAAACTTTTAGTAAACGTTCAACACAATGATAGTAATCATTCTTAAAATTTTCAGCTGAATTGGTTAAACTTTTCCTTGCTTTCGCAACTTCTCAATTTCGGCATTTTCAGAAGAACCAGGGACCACAATATTAAGATAGTTTCTCAGTTAGTTAATATACCATTCGGTACAGAATTAAATTCAGAGTAAAATCGTATGAAAGTCAGGAATGATAGCTCGACATTTCTTTAAAAAAAGACACATCCTCATGCAGGGGTCATATTTACTCTACTACGAAATCTCTTGGACCTTTTGTTCTCTTGAATTTGATTCAGATCCAACGCCATTTTTCTAGGAACATCAGTAATTAATAAGTGCTACAATATTACAAACATAATAGGATGAAAAACTCTATCCTCATGTCATCATAAAGAACACAGCCCACAAAATTTAGACAAAAATACTAAACCACGAAAATTGTCGCCCGGCCTCGCCCAATAAAGACTTAATTTTTTTCGTGCAAGAAAATAGAAAAGATCTAACTTAATTTGATTTGTTTGCAACTGAAAAAATCCCTTTTAAGTTACACTAATTGAAGACAATGTAAGTCTAATTTTCCAAATTCTAACGATAAATTTTAATTATTTTTTGTGTTTCTTAATCAATTTTCGAAAAACATTGTCAATTGGAAAGCTTATGCTGATGGAACATAAAAAGGCGAAAATCAGTTAAAAACAATCGTTAAAGCTAAAACCCACTAGCGCATTCAGTACTGAACAACACTGTTTAACAATGTCATCGTAATGTAGGAGTTTATTCAAAACATGTGACCACACACTATATATGTTGTTCAACGTCTCAACACTATACTAGAACAAAAGCAAAACTTACAGATTTTCGAAAGTTTTCTCCTTTTTTTTCGATAAAATATAGGAAAAATAGGAATTTTTATTGAAGTATAGGACAAAAATAGAACTTTTTCAAAAATATAGGAATTATAGGAAATATAGGTCGAATCGCAGCCCAGCTTTTATCTAAAAAAACAGTCTGCACGAGTCTGTCGTAAAGATCAATCGATGAAACAAAATCGAATGATACATTATTAATAGAGATGTGTGTGACTAAGTGTTTTTAGTTCTGGAAACTAATTTTCTAGTGATTCTGATCCCGATGATTTTAATTTCTTGAGACTCGTTCACTGCTCACGAGTTAAGCTTTCTAGATGTCTTCTTACGATTTCAATGTTTCTTTTCTCTTCTAGATACTACAGAGTATTTTGGCAAAAAGACTTAAACATCCGTGTTTTGAGTAACCTAAATCAATAAATATTACTTTTTTGAAATCATTACTCCTGATTTATGCTTTGATTGACACTGTTTTCAATATAATTCAGTAATAGTCATAGATAATTTATCTTGCATTTTTCGTCCCGGCTCAAAAAATCTTTTATTGTTGTTTGATTTGAATAAGATGTAACATGATGTCCAAGAATTGTCTAGCAAAATAGTATCTACAACATATTCAAATAATGTTTCTCTTTTGATGTTCTATGCGTTAGAGTCACCATCTAGTTATTTTTAATTAATATATCGTAGAATATACAAAAAACTGATGATTAATGTTCAATAATATGAAAATCCAATTGATTTTTATTATTTCATAATATAGAATCAAGTCCACGTCAATTTCTCCAAACAATTATTGATGTAATACCCAGAAACAATTAAGAAATATGATCATATTTAATACAAATTATGAATCTTTATTCGAGGTTGCTATACCATGACATAGAATACAGCAGTCTTTTTAATGATAAATGATTCTGAAAATAAAAGCAAAGATCTTGATAAATAATAATATTGTTGAGAAGACTGAAAACGACAATTCAAATGAATACAAAAAAAAAAAATGATGATCATATCAGAATTTATTAGAAAAATAGTCATTCTTTGTAACATACAGGAAACATTGTTATTGTGCTTATTATGAGAAATATAGTTAATTGAGTTTTCAGATTTGAATTATATGCACTGTAACCTCTTTACAATAAAATCCTCAAATTTTATCTGATTTTCTCTAGGCTTTTGTTACCCTTCTCAACTATAATACGATTCATGTAGACGTAATTTGTACTTGTTCTTTTCTCCACACATCTATAGTTGTGAATTTTGTTGCATTGTTTTTTTTTGATTTATGTTACAATGACGATGTTTGCATTGTATGTTAATAAACTTGCTATTGACGTGCCTGGACCAAGATATTTGAATTTTAAGATATTTTCAGTGTATGTAACATATTACTCACGAATGAAAATTCCAGCAGAATTCTTTTTTCCTCATATCGCTCTATTCCTCTTATATTTGATCTACGCCAACATCAACCGCTACTAATTTATATCATTTTTAGAGTGTTGAAATGCTTAAAGAAACCTAATTATCTATACTTCGTTCGTTCATTGCCACAGTGAATGAGTGACTCCATAATATATTTTACACTTTATACATGACTCCATCCAAATCGATTTTCTCGTTTCAAATCATGTAGAGCATAGTTAATTTACTTACTATGATAACCAAAGACCCACTATAAATTCTTATTTCTAAGAGATCAGAATGAACTATGTCATGCAGTGCCCAAATTTTGCATTAGAGACGTATTCAAGTAGAAAAATAGGTCATTTTTTTGTATGATGGGTTGGCATCAATTCTGTTTAAATTTTCACGAAATCACATTATATATTCAGTGGTACAGAGATAAGAATATTCAGCATTCTTAGTCTTCACCATCAATGTGAGAAAATACAATAATAGCTATTTAGAATAATGTCGTTCAGAATTCCTTCAAAACCTATTATCAGCTGTGCAGTGCTTTCCACTTACATCGAAGACACTACTCTCAGTTAAGAAACCGACAATACTTTTCTCGGTATCAACAAATCTAATGACAGAAAACGTCGTAACAGAAAACTTAAAGTAATATACAAGTACGAATATACTTTGGGGAAATTCCGGATGATATTATTTCAAATAACTGTTATTTTATTTTCTCATACTTACAGTCAAGACTCAAAATTCATAGTGTAATTTCATGAAAAGTTAAACAGAAAAAATGCTAATTAAACGGCGTTTTTATGTAACTCAAGCAAAAAAAAGTAGAGTAAAACTGTTATATACAAAATGTCTGTGTTTTATTTGTATTAAATTTTGTCGTTTTTTTTTTGAAAAAAGTTGACAGATTTCGAACATTCTAAATTTTGATGTCAAAGAGTTGTATGAAAAGAACAAACTACATAGAAAATAAGGTACTATTTTTTTAAAGGCCAATCTTATGCAAAAAGTGACGCGTTTACGGGCTTGAATACTTTTCTGCATAGATGTGACGAAATTGAACAGAAAAAAGAATAGAAAAAATAGAAAAAAATCTTTATGCTTGTATACCTGGCTGATCTTTTGAATATAAGCAAAATAACAAACAAAAAATTTATATAAGCTAACTGAATTCTCTCTCTTCCTTCAATAATTTGATAAGAGCAAAGAATGATTTCCTACGTGCAAAATTCAATCAATCTTAAAAAAATTTGATCGTATATATTGATAAGAATTTAATGATAATACGATGAAAATTATAAGGTAGTCGAAACATATAATGACATAATCATTTGACATAGGTCATATTCTCAAATCGTTATTTTATACTGTCTAGAAAAAAAAAGTTGTATCGTTGATTGGTAGTTATAATAATGGTCGACAGTTAAAAACGGAAGTCACCATTTTTCTTAATTGTTTGACAGATAAAATTGTTCATCAAGTTCCGCACGCTAGAAAAAGAGAAGAAAAAAAAATGTCAACGAATCAAGTCAGTCATCCCTTGTTTTTTCCAGAATAATGTTCAGTATATATACAAAACCTAATTGCTCGAAAGTTGTTGTCGTACACGCGCCAACTATCATTAACATTCTCATATTGAATGCTGAGAGGAAGCTCATCATGTCAGCTGTCCTGACGTATAAATACCGGAAGACGACGATCATCCTAACTTACTGATTGGATTGATCAAATGTATGGGCGTGAAAATGATTTTATGTGTATGTCATACATAGGAGACATCGATTCATTAACACCTTTTCATACAAAGATAAGAGCTCAAAAAAACAACGCCAAGTTCATGTTGGGTTAGTATACTTCTATAATCAAGTGTGAATGAACGACATATATTTTTTGATAGTTATTTTAAATAGACGAAAAAAGAAATAAAAGTGTCAAACGAATGCAATGCACCATCTAAGATTTTGATCTTTTTAATAGAGAACATTGAAATCAAACTCCCTTCCATTATACAACAACAGTAGTCAAATATCCGGCTGAAAGATGATGAAAACAACTATAACAACAACATAGA